GAATACAATAAATTCGGACTCAAATTATTTGTCTAAAATAATGTCTAACAAATTATATCATGCCACATCATTTAAAAATTTTGAAATATTTTGTTTATTAAATGATATCACAAAATTTGAGTTGCGAACAAAAATTGGATCTGAATTCAATAAATTTCAGTTGACATTTAATGTCACAATTGTATTGTCATAAAATTTAATTTCATAACTCTTTTAAAAAGAATAATTGCATAATTAACGTTTCTGTATAATTAAAAATCGATCTATTTAGCTCTGCTTTGTTTAATTAATATTCAAAAGACACCAATGGTAATAAAGAACAAAGAAGTATAAAACGGCATTGACAAGCGAAAACACAATGTAATACAGCAACATATATAAACGACGTCAAAATTTTAATAATGACAGCTGCAAGAAGAAAACGACAATAAAAATCCTGAAAAGCTTCATCCAAGCGTATAAAGTATAAACCACTGCAAAGATCCAAAGAAAAAAAAAACACACTACAAAGATCGAAAACGACAGCAACAAGAAAAGCAAAATAAACATCCTGAAAAACGACATGAATGTTAATGAACCAAAGTAAAATTAAAAAGCGACAGCGACAACCAAAACGACAGTAAACAACACATAAACGACATCAATAGTAATAAACGACACTAAAAATTGAAAACGCAAACGACAATAAATACCCTGCAAAAGACATGAATGTTAAGAAACGACAAAGTGTCAAGACGACGATACGCTTCGGTAAAATGAAGTCAATCAATTCTTGTAAAATATAAATGACAACAAAGTAAAATACAACTACATGATAAACGACAATAAATATTCTAAAAAAACTATATCATTTCTTACGGACAAAGTTTAAAAAGACAGCACCAGGAAACACGACAAGAAACATCTGGAAAAGAGACATCAGTTCTAATAATAACAAGGAGAAGAAAAAAGACAATATACTTTGCAAAAACGACATCAATGCTAACAAAAATCAATAAAATTTAAAACCACGGCAACAAGAAGATATGTAATAAACACGATGAAAACCGTGTGAATGCTAAATAAACTATGGCAGAAACGACAGTGACAATATAAATGACACGAAAACATCCTAAATTGGCATTCATGCTAAAATGACAGAGACATAGCCCAGTCCACGTAGTGTCACAAACTGGAGGGGGATGGGCAGGAATTGGGCCAATATCAAGGAAGAAAGAGGAAAATAGACCAAGATTTGAGATGAATTAAAATTAATAGGTCAATAATTTACATAAGTTAATAAATAGGTCAAATTATTGTTTTTGTCCATAACTTGTTTGGTTATGAACTATAACTTGACAAGTTATTGTCCATAATTGTCCATAACTTGTCTGGTTATGAACCATAACTTGACAAGTTTGTTCATAACTTATCTGGTTATGAACCATAACTTGATAAGTTATGGTCTATCAATTTCTATAACTAAAAATTGGCCTATATACTTTCTTAAGTTTTTCATATTGACCTATTTTTTACTATTTCCCCAATATCAAACCAGGTGTGACCCGTACTTTGGACTATGTGAAGAGCTTAGCCCAATACGTATTTTCAAAGAAGTATTAATGATCATTATACACGTGTCTTTAATTCAATAATATTACCGGTCTGTGCATGCTTACTGATATAATATAATTTTAAATATACCATTTTCTATTTAGGTAATTGTGAATTTATATAATTGATTTTTTAAAATATAGTTAACTAGGGATACAAATGTCATTATGAGTTATTTTACAAACTTATATGTAAATGTAACAACTTGTGGACATTCTTTTTTCATTCACCGTAAAATAGACATATATACAATTAACCCATTTTCAAAAACGTGTCAAGTAAATATCACTCAGATGGTACACAAATATTATTTATACTACTTCACTCAAAATTTAAAAATTGTGATTCAATTAATAAAAAAATTAAATATTATAATAACACTTAATTATTTAAAATAATATAAATAATAAATACAAATTATATAATTTTCTCTTCTAAAAAAACACACCAAAGGAATGTTTGGATGATTGAAGTTGGATGGGATTGAGAACGGGGGGGGGGGGGGGGGGGGGACCAGCTAAGTCTGACTTATATTCATTAAAAAAAAATGTACTTCCATCCGTAGAAGGAAGGAAAAAGGTGGAGGGATTTTGGGAGGAAAAATGAAAATGTAGGTTGATTAATAAGAGAGAAAAGAGAAAGGAAGAGAAAATGGAGTGAAAAATAGGAAGAAAGAGGGAAATAGGTCAAGACTTGAGATGAATTAAAATTAATAGGCCAATAGTTTACATAAGTTAATAAATAAGCCAAATTATTATTTTCGTCCATAACTTGTCTGGTTATAAACCATAACTTGACAAGTTATGGCCTATTAATTTCTATAACTAAAAATTAGCCTATATACTTTCTTAAGCTTTTCATATTGACCTATTTTCTACTATTTTTCTGAAAAATAATACATGTGGGCCTCACCATTTTTTTCTTTCCACAAGTGGGCAGAAAATGGGATGAAAAATGGGGACAACTCATTAAAGTGAGCAAAGTTACTAAACTATCATTTTCTCCATCAACATTCAAACAAAAAATTTAAAGGTATAAAAGTAATTTACGATTAAAATTTTTTTTTTACTCTCAATTTAACTTTTAATTCCAAACAAGTGAATGTAAGCTCATTTTCTTTTCATCTTCTCATACCAAATAACATAAAAGAAAATTAATTTCTTTTCCATCATTGCTATTTTTCATCACTTTCATATTTTTTTTCTATCTTATTTTCTTTCCTTCCTACCAAACATATTATGTACTCCCATCCGTACAAGTTACAACTGTTTTTCTAGTTCACAGTCCGGGGGGGTTCTAACAGTATTTTTTGCAATGATCTATATTTGCGCGTAATTTTTTTATATCGTTTTCAAATCTATCCAAAAACTTTTCGGTAATTTGGCAGCAATATTTGTCTCACTTCATTATAATGGCATATTCGTGATCTGATCTTCACTCAACATATTGAGCCAAACTAGTATATATTTTGCTTTTTAACTAGATTGCAACTCATAAATCATGAACACTCATTATTTGTTCCCCCTTTTCTGTTTCTTTTTTAAAGAATGCTAAATACTACAACTCTTTTATTGTTAGAATATCAGATCATACATTCCTTCAAAAAAAAAAAAATACGTGGTATTGGTAACTTCATTTCACCCTCATTATACATACATTCATGCATATATATATATATATATATATATATTTGCGCCCTCCTGGGGCTATATGGTCACAATAGTGAATAGATAAAAGTCGGCTTGCCATAAATCTCATAAAATAATATCACATAAAAAATATTCGGTCGAATAAGTAGAATATCTTAACCATTGTTTTTTTTAATTGTTGGGGATTTGAACTCGTCCTCAGACGTTCCTCAGAAATAAAGATATATATATATTTATATTTTTTAATATAGAAATAAAGATATATATTGGGGTCGACATTATATTTGGCAGTCATGTGATTAGGCAGTAGTTTAGGAATATGTAGTTTCAGATCAGGCCACCAATTGTACTTGTAAGAAAGCCTTCAGATCACGTCACTCCTAGAAGTTAGTGATAAGGGATTGCAAATCTTGAATTAGAGCCGTGGGAGTTGTTGCACGGGACCATGTTGTGTGGACCTTTTTTATGTCCCAATCAAATACCAAACACATTATTGAACATTTTTGTCACCATTGTAAAATCTTTTTTTTTTTTTTTGTAAGTAAGATTATAACATATTTTGTACTACAAAATAATGTTTTTAGATGCTGTAATTTTCCAAAAACACTATTTTGTATTAGTTTTTGTACATTCATATAGCACTCATTTTATTTAGATGTATTGTGTAACACTTAATAAAATATAGGCCACTTATATATTATGATATTATCATGTTATCCCAAAAAGTTAAAATCCGTGTGAAAAATGTTGCAGTATCATATACTGTCATACTAAACGATTGCTGGATACTGAAGACTTCGTCGATAAAGATATAAATAAAGTGGCAAATAAGAGCTTTATGGGAAACAAAAACATTATTGTGAGATGAACTTGACTATTGGATCAAATAAAAAATTAGCTTATGATAATTAAGAATATGATGTGTTTCAGAATATTATTGGAAATGTAATTAGAAATAAGATTCAGTTCTAAAAATAAAAATAAAACTCTTAGAAGGTCTACAGATTTTAACACTTTAAGACGTTCGAATTATATATATGTATCAATCCTCTATAAATCATGGTGTAGATATCATGTTATTGAAAGCAACTCTTTAAAATCAAGAGAAAGAAAACACACACACCATACAGCAACAGGACATGTGGTGCATTAAATAACGGTGACTTCATCCCTTAAGAAGTAACAAAACCAAGGAGTTCCAAAAGGTCACAGTTTGGTTTGCTGGACAATATGCGTTTATTTGACAAGTGTATGTGGAATTATTGGTAGCTTTATATGTTCATATCTCACCTTCCCAAACCCGTAACTCACACACACACACACACACACACACACATATATATATATATATATATATATTCTCTTCTCAGATTTCTCCATCTCCAACTCCCAGTCTTCACCACCTAACTCTCTCTCTCTCTCTCTCTCATGGTATATATTTTTAATCAAATACAAGCACGGCGTGAGTCCACAGATACAGACAACTAACAAAATCTGATCTCACACGACAGCCCAGCAATATGAGTACGTTGTGAACTGTCCGGTAGACCGACCAGTCAAAAACCCCGCGTACGCGCACCATATTAACATGATATTTCACACCATATTACTATGTTAATCCTAAAAACCTTATCACTCTTTTAAATTTGTTTTCTCTTCGTACGATTTCTCTTTTAGACATTTTGATAATACTTTTAAGCCCAGCTAACAACCTTTCAACTTTTACTTGATTTTTTTTTTTTTTTGAATTTATTTTTCTCCAGAGTTTTTGACTTTTTGTTATCTTAAACAAATTAAGTTGCAGTATGTTTCTAAAAAGTCATCCACCATTTCTCCTTCTCGTTTCCTTATTGTCAAACCGAAACACTTACCTTTCTTCACAACTCAATTCTTGTTTTTCTTAGTTGGGATTTGAAGATGTACTTTTGATTATCGGTTCAAAACATCATCAACCAAATAATCCTCCTCCTTAATTTGTGTTTAGCTAGTTCTTATGCTTAGAACCCAAAAATGAATGTCTTGTCTTGATTTGACTTTCTTATTTCTTAATTATTTTTTTAAAAGAAAAAAAATTCAAGTGATAGTTTTGCAAAGTATGCCTAGCGAGGAAGGTCTGGTAGGAAACTCTGATCAGCTTGTGAGAATGGCTGCTCTGCCAAGTGGCCGGCTTCACAGCATGTTGCAGACGGCGGTGCAATCAGTTCAATGGACATACAGTCTCTTCTGGCAAATCTGTCCACAAAAAGGGTATTCTCTTTTTCCTTTTCTTTTTCTTTTTCTTCTTTAAACACTGATAAGTGATAATCATCTATTTACCCACAAGGCTAGGGTAATATATATTTGCATATATTTTCATGATAATTTATATTCGATTAAATATGGGTGGAACAGTGGTTATAGGCATAGGATTGCAATAAATCCACACCTGATCCATCATAAAATATTGAATGCATATCTTTCGTCCCTAAAAATAAGAAAAAAAAAAAAAGCAAACAAACAAAGATATATGTGGACTAATCTTGATTAGTTTTTATGGCGGATAAGGATCTTAGTCTGGTCAGATGGGTATTACAACGGGGCAATCAAGACGAGGAAGACTGTGCAGCCAATGGAAGTAAGTACGGAGGAGGCATCCCTTCAGAGAAGCCAGCAGCTTAGAGAACTTTATGACTCCTTGTCGATAGGAGAAACGAACCAGCCGGCGCGGCGGCCTTGTGCCGCCTTGTCACCGGAAGACTTAACGGAGTCGGAGTGGTTCTACTTGATGTGCGTCTCTTTCTCTTTTCCTCCCGGGGTCGGGTAAGTTTGGCTAATCATAAATTCCTATCAATAATACTATAAAGACGGCATATTGCTTATCAAATTTTAATCACCATATTATGAATTAACAAGTCGAATAACACATAAATTTGATAAACAAATTAGTGTTTACAGCATTACTCGTTAACTAATTTATTAGCTTAACTTTCTAACTCATACTGAGAAAGATGATTCTCATTAATATGTGTATCCATTTCTGTTGACTTCGAAAATTCAAGTCCCTTTCTATGACTACTTTTAGTGGCTTTCGTCTGCAAGCAAGATCAGACGGCAAAGTATTTATTGTGAAATAGTGATCATGAAAACGAATGCATTTTTTTTTTACACCATTTGTCACACGATCACGTAGAACTTTCACTGTCCCTCCCTCTCTCGCAAAATTCAGTTAAGTACTGCTTTCTTAATTTGCATATATAGCAACGGAGACACTTATGATATTGGGCATACAATTAAATCCCTTGCCACAAGAGGCAAGGAAGTAAATACTAGAAGACTATCATTTCTGCTTCTCAGTCAGTACTACAGTGTGAAAGAACTTAATGAAATAATATTGGAGTGGTTGTGTCGATATAAATGCCAAAACATGAAGAAAACGAAAGTAAGCGAAATAATTGAACCAGTAATTAAGATTGCAGTTAGGCTGCCAACGAATTCTGATAATTAAGACCGCAGACTTATTTGTTTGGATTCAGATATTATCTGTAACTTTTGTTGTCCCAAATAGTGTCTAAGTCTCCAATCAATTACATTATGTCATATCATTCAATGAGCATAAAAAGTTAATTAATTAAAAATCATCTAAAATTCTTGACGTGACATAAAATGATTGGTTAGACATGATTTGAGATGTCAAAATTGAACAAAAAATCTGAATCCAATTTGTTTGTGTTTTAATAATTAGTTATGAAAAATATTTCGGAGCACCTCCGGTGTTAATCACTAACATTAATAAAATGTGGAGCTTTATACTGTAGAACTCACTTTCTATTAATGGATAGTACTAAACTCTACTCGTGCCATGCAGTAGTGTTCTTATGCATACATATATATACTTACGCTGACTTTAGGAAAAGTTAGGTGAAAGCCTTCATGTCTAACTAATTTTTTAGTTAATGAAATATCTATATGCAGATTAGATGGATTTTGTCGTTTGAATATATTAGTTTGAACAATTTCTCTCCCGGGTTTGGAAGACTGTTGTTTAGGAGAATATATTCCGGAAGGGCTCTGCCAAAAGGAGTACATTGTGTATTGACGTCAAGTTGTTACCATTACGTACTGACTTCGATCTTGCTTTCACTAATTTTCCAACCTGCCAAAAGAAGCTTCTGTTTTTTTTGGGAAAAGAGACAACCAAATGTGTTTCACCTTCGTGATCATACTGCTACTAAAGAAGCAGCTTTGCGAAAAAGCTTACACAAATCTGTCTCTCGTTCGTACACTTTCTCCATCTCTGGAGTTTTCTGAATAAATAATGTGACCGGTGCATTTGATTAATATATTCGTGTCATTATTTAAATTATAATTTATAATTTATTATAATATTTTTTATATAAAAAACACACATAAATTAAAAATAATTTTAAATTATTATTTTGAATTTATGAATCAAATGTCCACTAAGTTTTTGAGGTATATATACGAGACTATGGCTTCGTTCATTTCACCGATTCGAGTTTTCAGTTTTAGGTTTATACAGTAAAAAACTCTCAGAAAATGTCACATCTAACTTTTTCTGCTACAGTGAAAAGCTCTCAAAAAATATTACATTTCAGCTCGAATTGAAAACTCGAATCCGCACCTATGTCTTAAAAGGTCACACTTTTTTCTTCCAGAGCTTACAATTCACTAGGGTACTATTGTTTATCATTTGTTATATATAACCAGTTATGACATGTCATATCATGTGATCCAACATGCTCATGGATAAGTGTGGCAAATACCAATGTACCATGGCTAGGCATTATATTTATGAATAGAGAGTAGTGGTGGAGCCGGACTATTGTTTAGTGGGGATATTACCATTTCTTTTTGAAGTATAGAAATAAAAATATAAAAAAAAAGTGTGAACTTCTTTACATGTAGAAAATTGTATCTAGTCAAAACTAGAAAATCACAAAATTTCAAAAATTATTTTAAAAGAAAAAGTCAATAAAGGTGGTGCTCCAACTCATCTTCAAGTGGCAACTCCACCACTAATAGAGGGTTTAGGGATCATATCACCTTTTCTTTATTCTTGAAGTATAGAAATAAAAATAAAAAAAAGTGTGAACTTCTTTACATGTAAAATATTGTATATAGTCAAAACTAGAAAATCACAAAATTTCTAAATTTTTTTTTTAAAAAAAAAAAGTCAATGGAGGCGGCTGCTCCAACTCGTCAACTTCTTGACATGTAAAATATTGTATATAGTCAAAACTAGAAAATCACAAAATTTCTAAATTTTTTTTTAAAAAAAAAAAGTCAATGGAGGCGGCTGCTCCAACTCGTCCTCAAGTGACACCTCCGCCACCAATAGAGGGTAACATTACGGGATATTCTTACATGAAATAATTTGTACCAAAAAGTTAGCCGATTTCGATTCATAGCCATTAATATTGCCGAGCTTTGCTTAATTAAATTTCATGTGCAACAACATCCATTAATTAAGCAACATGTACATAGTACCTTGTTATTAATTCTTTTTTTTTTGTACCGGAAACTATTAATGAATGATCTTCATTTTAATTTCTTGCTCGATCTCCATTTTAGTTTTCTATATAGGTATGAGGCTAGCATATAAATATATGTACTTGTAGATTCATTTTTTTTAATCTCGATTTAAAATAAATATATATGTATCTATCGGTTTACTAATATGCTATAGAGGGTAAATTTTGTGTACATGTAGGTTGCCGGGAAAAGCATATGAAGAAAGACAGCACGTTTGGCTCACGGGTGCAAACGAGGTTGAAAGCAAAATCTTCTCTAGAGCTATTCTTGCCAAGGTACATCCATTAAACTTTTCCTTCACTTTCAGCAGCAATAAATACTTACGAAATCAATATTGAACATCAAATATATATATATATATGTGTGTGTGTGTGTGTGTGTGGTGAGAGACACTCGTAAATTTCATGAAATTTTATATATATAACGTCTAACATAGAAAACCCACCTTTTTAAAAAAAAAAATTTCCAATTAGTAGTATTAATCCACTTACAGTTAATTATAACTCATCATTACCTTCCTTTTGATCTCTATGTTTTCTCCCATGGGCGTCCTTGCTACATTGGCTGCAGAGTGCTCGTATACAGGTACATATCATACATATATATATCTCCCGCCCTATATATTAAATCAATGCGATCTTTTTGTTTATCTTGTAACAAAAAAATAATCTGAGACCCAAAAACAAACAAAATTTTTTTTATTGCAGACTGTAGTTTGCATTCCTCTACTGGACGGCGTGGTTGAATTCGGCACAACAGATAGGGTACTATATATATATATATATGCCAATTTTCCTTTTATTTATGAACCTTTTTGTTTTTTTTGTTTTTGCTCTTTTACGTAGAAATTAGCTGTTTATGTTTTGTAGGTTGAAGAAGACCTTGGATTCATCAAACACGTCAAGACATTCTTCGTCGTCGACCACCAAAACCCTCCTCCGCCGAAACCGGCACTTTCCGAGCACTCCACCTCCAACCCCGCCACGTCCTCCGACATTCCCGGCCCCGTCTACGTCGGCTCCGAAGATCCTCCGGCGGACGCCAACCAAGAAGTGGACGACGAAGAAGCCGACGACGAAGAAGCCGACCCGGACTCTGAGGCCGAAATGGAACACAATGGGCGGCCCCTCTCGGCCCAAAACTTACCGGTGGAGGCGGCGGAGCCCAGCGAGCTTATGCAGCTGGAGATGTTGGAGGACATAAGGCTGGGCTCGCCGGACGACGGTTCCAACAATTTGAACTCCGATTTCCACTTGCTGGCCGTGAGCCAGCCCAGGAGCCCCGGTGAGCTTCCAAGGCAACTAGACAGCTCGTGTCGTGCCGAGTCTACTCGACGGTGGCCGCTCCAACCGGACCCGTCCTGCAGTGGTCTTCCGGTATTGCCATCAGGTACTAAAATGAGTAAAAGTGACTATGTTTTACTTTTGCACAAAAAGCTGAGCTTAAAAAATAGGGTGCATAACATAAAAAGAGTAGTTATTATACAAATAAAATTTTAAAATATCGTTTCATGAGTAAGTTTTTCTCTTCATTCTCTTCATTTTGCAAATTGTTCAATGATCATCACTCCTGATTATGATGATGCTCGGTGATGGTACTTTCGATCGCAGCACATGCACGTGGGCCCTGTTGAATATTGACTATCACCCTTTTCTGTGAAAAAACGTGGGGTCCAAATCATACCTTTGTGTACGAAAGCTTCCATTGAATTGAGGGTTTTTTTTTTTTTTTTTTTTTTTTTTTTTTTGCGTGTCAGCTGCAAGTGAAACTTGTAGATTCTGGCCAGTTTTGCACGTTTTAGAAAACTGAAACTACAGCACTCAGTACCCACTTTCTACCCTCTTTTGTTTGCTTTGGTGAATGTAATTCAAAACTCCTGAAACTAGCCTTTCAAATTTGCAAGGAACCCTATTGACTTCTCGGGATTGACGTGTTTGGCATTGAAAAAATAAGGACAGATGAAAAAATCAATTGCTTAGCTCATGTTTGCTTAGCGGGTTTGAATAATGTGAGTTTAAATCTATATGTAGGTTTTTTGTGATTTGAATTGATGTTTAATAGTGTAAGATTTAAACAGATAATAAAGTTTGAAGCAACGTTTAATTACATTATTAGAACTATGAGTTTTTAAAGAATGTGAGTGAAAATAGTTAGTGAGAGCCTTTTAACTTTAAGTTAGTTTCTTGAATAATGTTTTGGGTTTAGCCTAAAGATTTTGGAAATGGTTGGTTGGGGGATGTAAAGTTCTATAAAACTTTTAATTTTAGGTTGAAGTAAATTCAAAATCCAAAACTAATATGCAACCAAACGAAGGTTTGTATTGCTTTTTGAGTTCAAATCCATGAGAACCCTCCAACCAAATGGACACATCATGGATAAGCTTCGCATTAAGATTAAGGCATATAGCAACAGTAGTGAGAGAGAAAAAGAAACAAAAAAATATGTTTTGGTTTTTCTACGTATAAGAAGCCTATCATAGTGTATGATTCTAATAATTAAATCTGATCAAAATCACATAAAAATAAAAATATATACATAATAAATAATTTTTAAAACAGATTAAGTAATTAAAAAGAATAAACTATATGTAATTCCAACTTTTCAAGACATTCCATAAAAATCCCTACATTTTATGATTCAATATGCCTAACTAAGTAGCTAACCCTGGTCTCTTTCCAGTGACGCATAACAAAACTTCCAGAACTTACGTCACCTTAACTGAGTTTCAAGCTTCAACGACAAACCCATGCAAAACTTTTAATATTATGGTTGAACGTTTGGCCACATTTGACCTAGATCGGAAACAAACTACAAAAACAATATATTCCCAAATGGGCATCACTTCATTAATTCTATTATTTTTTTCGGGTAGAATTTTGTCCCCTCACTGTCAACTTCATATTTAACGTGATCATAAAATATTTCACTCACTTTTCCACGGCAACATTAATGTTGATTGAAGTTCAAGATTTTAAAGCAACCGATCATCATTAAATTATTAATCACTGGAAAAAATTTCCAACCCCATTATTATTATAGACTAATCTCTGATCTATTCTTCAATTTTCCGGTGTTAAAATCAATTTCTGTCAATCTTTTTACAGGCCCATCTCTTCTTCCATTAGAGGACTTGAGCTCACAAGAGGACACTCGCTACTCCGAAACAGTCTCCACCATTCTCCAAAAACATCCCAGCCTGTGGTCCGAGTCCTCCGACGACCATGTCACGTACTCTACCCAATCAGCTTTCGCCAAGTGGACATCCCACTCCGACCACTACCTCCACGAGTCGTCCTCCGAGGACACGTCCCAGTGGCTCTTAAAATACATCCTCTTCAGCGTACCATTCCTCCACACCAAGTACCGCGACGAGAACTCGCCCAAGTCCCGGGACGGCGACGGACCCGGCGGCGCCGACGCGGCGTCTCGGCTTCGAAAGGGTGGCGGCGGCGCGCCGCAAGATGACCTCAGCGCCAACCACGTGCTGGCGGAGCGGCGGCGGAGGGAGAAGCTCAACGAGCGGGTCATCATATTGAGGTCGCTCGTGCCTTTCGTCACGAAGATGGACAAGGCTTCCATATTGGGGGACACAATCGAGTACGTCAAGCAGTTGAGAAAGAGGATTCAGGATCTCGAGGCGCGTATCCGCCAGACGGATGTTGATCAACGGTCCAACTTTGGTGGGGACCCGCAGAGGACGAGTAGTACTGGCTCTTTAAAAGAAGTGCGGAGCAGGTTGACCATGGTTGACCATACCCGGGTCAGCCCGATCGGGTCGGACAAGAGGAAGTTGAGGATCGTGGAGGGGAGTTGCGGCGGGGCTAAACCTAAGACGGTGGAGTCTCCGTCTCCAATGGAGACGTCAGTGCAGGTGTCGATTATAGAGAGTGAGGGGTTGTTGGAGCTCCAATGCCCGCACAAAGAAGGGTTGTTACTTGAGGTCATGCAAATGCTCCGTGAGCTCCGGATTGAGACCACAACGGTGCAATCTTCATTGAACAATGACTTCTTTGTGGCTGAACTTAGGGCCAAGGTAAAATTTGGAGAATTTTAACTTATTAGTATGCTATGGTAACATTATGGTGTTTTTGCTAATGTAATAACACGATTGATTTTATTTTCAGGTGAAGGGGTATGTGAATGGAAAGAAGGCAAGTATTGTGGAAGTGAAGAGGGCAATAAATCAAATCATACCCCACAGCGATACTTGAGATAAAAAGCTTAAATTTTCAGCTTGGGGAAACTGAAAAACTAGCTCCCGAACAGCCCCTTAGTCTATTGTTCTGGTTGTGGTAGAGGCTGTTATCACTCACAAGGATGATCTAACAAAGTTTATAAGTGTACGTCCCTTAGAACATTAACAAATGGTATAACAAAATTGATCTTCTTGTCCATCAATGTAGAAAAACGACATTTTTTTCTTTTTTTTCCAAAAGCGGATCTTACTATGAATCTACTACAAAAACTTCAGATTGCTGTTAAAACATAGCAAAAAGTGACCGAAATTTACAGCATAGGCGTCTCAGATGCACAAGAGCAGGAAAAGTAACAGATGACCAAAATATGCACCTGAAAGGAAATTTCTATGAAACATAAAGTTAAATCACAAGAGCGTTTCGATTCTACTCAGACGACCTGCTGCGAAGTATTTCAACGTAACTGGCACATCAGGGATGTGAAAAAGAATCCTCAACTTAGTCAAAATTGTATTTTCGTTGTAACTGCAATGATTAAACAAGCAGACCACTTTTTCAACGAAGATTTGCTCCCGGGGATAGGATCCTTAATATAACATCTCGTCGACAATCCGCTCACCCATCTTTTCCAAGTCTTCTTGCGACAGCAGGGTTTTCCTACCGCTGCCACCAGCCTTATCATATGGCTGAGCCATTTTTCTGAGGAACTGCAGTCAGAGGAAAGATGGTTAGATTACACTACAATATTATGACTTGTATCCACGTATAAAGATCATCCGAAATCATTTGTTGTGCACAACAAGTCTTTGCGAGAGCAATGGAGAAAAAATTCTTAAGCAAACAAGACAATGAACTTCTGTCAGCAGACTTTTGAAAAAGAGTTCAATGCTAGAACAATTAAAACAACCTCTCGTGCTATATGAAGAGCCATGTCCGTGCTCAAGTTCAGGTGAGCATCACGTAAGTGCGAGAGTATCCATCCAGGCAATTTAGAGCGCTTATCATGACGGCTATACCTAAAAGAGTAAAAAAGTCGAAGAATGTGATATTTATACATAAACCAAACTCCTGAATGTAAATACATAAAATACACAGAATGTTAGATCCGTTGAGTCTACATCTAATTTCTCTAAAGTACCTCTCCCTAATTTTGAAAACAAAAAAAAGTGAATCTGACGCTATCAGTTCCCTAAATGGTACTTCGGATGTTTAATTATTAGCATGTTTCAACTTATGCTCGGCTGTTGTATTACCATCACATTACTTTACTACTCCGTCAGCTGATTTGATGGAATGAGAACTATAATTTATGTTGGTATTCAGTTAACTAATTGCTTGCTGCAGACAAAAGCAGCTAACATCACGATGAAGTCAGCTTAATAATTAATGGTTAGACCTATTAACTAACCTCAACGCCAATTTTACTCAACTTTCATCACTAAGTATGAGAATTCGAAGATAAGATTAAGGATACAAACCTTTTGTCAGCAAAAATCATCATACCATAATCAGCCTTTGACCGGATAACTCGTCCCACGCATTGAGCAGCTTGCCTCTGTTACAATTAATTCCCATGAATAACAGTTCCGCATAAGAAATTTAAAACCAATCCAAAAGGTTGAACTTGTTCAGATGACAGAAAGTAAATGGAATCTTACCAAAGCATCAAAAGTCAAAAAATCCCCTTCCTTTATTTGAAAAGTATCCCTTAAATATTCCAACCGTGCAAGCAAAATCCTGGAAAACACACCCACAAGCCAAGTCATACAGTGAGGAAGTTAATGAGCTTAATTGACCACAATAACAAAAGTTTCTTGCAACCATAGTTAAAAAATTGCAGAAATTTGTTTTTGAACTCTCCCATGAACAAAATAGAACTGCTGATATGTCATAAAAATTGTACTTACTTGCTTAGTGTATATTGGAAAGGAACACCAAACATAATCACCAGTCGTCCATAGTGTCGATCAAAGTCTATTCCCTCGGCTACCTTTCCCCTGTAAAAGTGCAGATATATTTTTCATGAGGCCCCTAGGATCCTGTGTTATTAGTAGAATCCCTATCTCTCTGAATTGATCTATAAATCTTCTAAATACAGGATATTGAGATAACTTTTTGATGGATATTGACTCGGCAGCTAGGAAATCAGAAGATATCTAAGTAATAAATTTGACGTGAATTTCAAATTTTCAAGAGGTTAGGATACCTCGCAACAGAAAAGAAGACAGCACCTCTCCCACAGTCACAAGCCTTGCGATAGTTATCAAGAGCCAATGTAGTTTCTACCACGTCTTGTGTCTCAATGAAGACAAGCTTATGTTGCATTATTTCCTGTGATGTTGAGAGCATTAAGCACATATCTAGAGTCTAGACAACTAATTTACTAAGAAATCAGAGGCAGAAAAGATAATAAAGAGAGAGAGAGATTCACAAGAAAAAATGGAATATACATGAATGGTGCACTCACCTTTAAAATGCCAGTTTCATTCCAACTATTGACTATTCCATCCATATAAGAGTAACTAACAAAAAAGCATACAATCCCATCTGGAACAACAGATACCATCTCCAGCAAGAGCCTCCCATAGTTCCTCACAACACCCAGGTCACTTCTCATATCAAATTTGGTACTAACTGGAAGCTGATCACTGAAATAGCAAGCCATAGTATTGAGTATAGCATACAAAAAACAACATAGGTAATAACTAAATGGCTTAGATGCCATACAAAATAAGAAGTGATAGGAAAGAGCATGGTGGCAAACATTATGGATGAATTAAGAACTAATAATCTTCTATGTAAAATTGTAACTCTAATAAAAGGTATAGAAAAGACTATTTTGGTGAATCTTATACCTTCCTCGGGTAAGAACCATTGGGCATATGCAATCTCTTGTCAAGGACATTGTAAAACTTCTACTGACAACTGGATTAAAGTTGAGAAGACGGGGGTAGAGATCAATAGGGCTAAGGGTTCCAGATGTGATCACTACAGATTGAAATCGCTCAAATACAGGCTTTATTGCAAGAGAAGCGTCGTGGCAGCTAAGCTGGAATGTTTAAGCACAGAGAGAACATTATGAACGAATGAAATATAAAAAGTGTGAAAGATAAATTTTGACTAAGCATTACAACCTAAAATTTTATTCACATCCTCCAATGAAGCAGAAAAAAGTATATTAGCAAGTGCAGCTAGATACACTCATTCATGTGCAGGAACAAAGGAGGTGGAAATGAGTAAATAAACCGTCTTTGAGAAATTTATATTGCAACAGTGCATTTCCTGTTGGGATAATGGAATCCAAGAGAATTTCACAATTAAGTTAAAAGTTGTTCCTAATATGTTCTGAATAGTACGTAGAGTTTTCATAGGTTTGAAAAATCCAAAAACATTGTAGATTTTTTGTGGGATTTGAGCATGAAAAATCCAACAATAAACTTTCCATTTTCCATAAAATGAAATGATGCTGGCAGATAAGATGTATCTCAAAAATGGAAAAGAAAAGGTAAATAAAATAAAATCAACCTGCAAAACAGGGTCAGGAACATGGGGCATTCTCTCATCAAAAGGTTCAATTATAATAGAAAAACCACGTGCATACGTCCCCACAAGTGTTGCAAAGTCGCATATTGTTTGGACGTGTAAGAACTCATCCGTATCAGTAATTTCTAGTGTCAACATCAGTGAGTGCAGACGATCATAACAAAACTTTAGTGTTTTTTGGTCAATTCCAGCATGTGTATTGATAGAGGCAACAAAGTTAACAGGGCCCTCTTTCTCAACATTCTCGGTCTCCAAACGCCCTTCCAGATACTGAACCAGTCTACGCAAAACATGCAGGAAATGCTCTGCTCTGCGAATATTTCCAGGCACAGCCTCCTTTAGAATATCATCAGGCAAGGCAGGGTTTGCAAGCCAAGTATTTGAGACTGTATAAAGAAAGGACACGCAACTCATGAGAACTTATGGAAATGTAAAACAATTATTTCAGCTTTCAAAATGAGAGGAGGATGAGCGTCCAACATACTGGGAAGATTTCCTCTTTGAGCCAAACCATCAACGAGACGGTTGTACTCTGCACGCAGCCTCCCAGCATCAGTGGCCTTGAACCTACCTACCATGTCAAGCAAATAAAAGAACATCTGAATTGAAGATTTGTTCAGACATATGCCTCATGGTCATTCATTCATACGTGTCTTTCCCAACCATTAGAAGCTAAGATTCTGGATAGGGCAGGGTTAATCATAGATATTTCTTTAAGGTCATCTAAAAGGAAAAAAAAAAAAAAAAAGGGAGCATATCATACACTATCCAATAATTGAAGAGAAAAAGCCATTCCTATCTACCACCATGACAAGAAATCAAAAGATGAACCTACCTGTCAATCTCCTGACGCATCCTATTCAGATTCCTTCTGGCGCCTTCAAGTGTCTGCCTCCTCACGCTAACACTAAGCGCTTCAATGCACACATTGTCTATGTTGTGAGCCTCATCAAACACCACGACGGATTCCTTCTGCATTTCCTTGGAGATAATCCCAGCCACTTTCGGATCAAGCAGATACTGATAACTATAAACAACCACATTCGCAAATTGCACCATATGCCGCGCCAAGAAGTAGGGACACCAGCCTTTCTGTTTCCCAAACGCCCTCAAATCCTAATTTTTCCAACAGAATTCAGACATCATCAGAAAATAAGTGCTTCAAATCTCATGCTTTCTCAATCAAGAGAACAGAAAACAATTAAGGCCAACAAATCAGAATTACACTCCAAAAAGTATACATATACAATTCCATAAGGATGCCTACTTTTACAACACAATTCAGTCACCATTCAGTGAAGAAGTAATTCAAGTCTCAACCTTTCTCATTCAAGAGAATAGCACAAATTCACCAATTAAGGTCAAATCCAAATTACACTCGGAAGACCAAACAGCCAAGATGATATACATCAATCCATAAAGATTCTCCAATTTTCCAACACAATTCAGAAAGATGTAATAACAGTTTCAAGCTTTCTCATAAAAAGAACGGAAAAAGTCACCAATTAGGTTAACAAAATCCAAATTACACACCTTCAGAAACCTAATATACTTTAGGTGTATATACCAATCCCTAACATTTCAATTGAGTCCCAACATATCCAATCCTCAAGCTTTCTCATTCAAAAGAACTGACCTAATTCACAACCTAGGGCTAAACAAATCCAAATTGCATTTCTCTAAAAATAATAACATTCCCGATCGAGTTGGCGAGTACCTTACCTGCAAAGTATATACCCCGGGGGGCAAGACGGCGGCTGAGCCGGCCTTCTCATAACTCTCAAAGAACTCGCACGTCGGAATATCGGGATCCTCAGCGGCCAAGGCGCGGACCCAACTGGCGGTGAGCTTCCGGCAAGCGGCGTCGACGGAGTCGCGATTCTCGGCGGTGACGACGCGGGGGTTGACGCAGAGATTCTTGCGGGAGGAGAGGCCGAGAGCGAGGATCCCGGCGCCGGGGCCGAGCTGCTTGAGCTGGTAGTCATGGAGGAGCTTGAGCTCGGCGAGGGTCTTCTCCATCTCGTGGACGGTGCGGGTGCAGTAGATGAGTTTGAGAGGGGATTGGGGTTTGGAGAGAGAGTAGCTGGTGATGAGAGAGAGGAGGGCGATGGTCTTGCCGGTGCCGGTGGGCATCTCGAGGAGGGAGTGGCCCTTGGCGTCCAGGGATCGTTTGAGTTCGAGCATGTAAGCGTACTGCTCTGGGTATATGTGGTCGTAAGGAAAGTACACTGTCACGTCCTCTATTTGGAACTTCATCGTCAATGGTGGAGGAGACTTTTACAGAGGTTTTTCTCTCTGGGTTTTTGCTTTTGGGATTTGAGAGTTCTAGGAGTCCCTTTCAGAGACTGTAGTATATATAGGCATTGGAGTAGTCACGACTTCCGCCATTAGGACCGAGAGATTTCATTTTATTGTTTTTTTTTTTTTTTTTGGACGAGAAAATTTTTTATGAAGAAAGGAAATGTCGTTTTTCCTTCTCATAAATTTCCTGTCGTTTATTAGAGAAACTACATTTATCGTTTATGTAAATTTCGACCTGTTTTAAGTTCACGCCGTAGGCAAACAACGTTTATAATTGATGCTTACGTGGTAAAACAAAATGTAGTCCGTAGTATACTGACTGCTGTCGTTTTCGGCGTTAAACGACTTGCCTTTCTATCTTCTCAAATTCTGTCGTTTCAATTGGCAAACGACAAATTTGTTTGTCGTCATAAAGTTCGCTTTTGTTCAGCAACATAAAGACATGGCGTTGGTACTTCGTTATGGCGTAAAACGACATGAAATTTCGGGGTCCATCCAACATCGGTTCTCACATTTCAATGTTTGATTTCCGTCTCCTGTGTCTCCTCGACGTCTGTGCACAGCATACGTGTTTTTGTATTTTAACGATTTGCCATAATTTTAAGTTGAACTACACTCATTTTATTTAGAGTGGTCCGAGGAAAAAAAACGGGTAATGGCCGAAGTATTAGGATTTAAAGTTAACTATATTCAATAAATCAATTGATTTACGACTTAATAAATAATGAACTTACAGCTGTTTTGTATTGAGAATTTTGCTTTTATTCCTTGACAAAAGGAAAATAGACAAAACAGCCCCGTTTGACAAGTCACAAAAGAAAAATAGACAGTTGTGAGGATTCTCTACTATTACAATAGCCCAATCTGCAGTATGGTTCAGTAAAGACTTTCTCTCGTCAACAGATTAAAACAACTTCCTACGCTAGAACACTGGAAGCATACAATATATATACACGTAACGAGGTATTCATAACAAACGAGCTGCTGATCATGTTGTATCAGAAAATCCTCATTCTTCAGTTTGTGTGTTGAATGCTAGGCCTTTGATAACATGTCGACATTGGTACCTATAACATATCATCAAAAGGATCACTCAGAGCTTTAGAAAGTAAAGGAACAAAAGTTCATGAAACAAACAGAATTACAATCGCATACGCCAGTTATCCAAGTTTTTGGATCAAGACTTTGAAAAATTTTAAGCTAATGGCAATTTCTAGTTACAAATTTTCATAAACTTTGTAGCTATCTGAAAGTTTTCTAGCTACGGTCTTTGAGCAGCGAACTCATACCATATTAATTCATTTGGAATAGACTCGGCCGAATCAATGGAGCTGTCAGTGTGATGCTCGAGATCATTAGCATCCATTTCTTTATGGGATTCGGTTCTACACTTGACTCGAATTCTGAACGGCACAGTCTGCAAGAAGAAAATAAATTTGTATGATGTGAGATAGAAGCATGTCTTCTGGTGTAAAAGAAGAAACCACCGACAGGTTGCAAAAATGAGTAGTCTTGAAAAAGAAAAATCATTAATTCTACAATTTCTTGCTCTGCATTAAGAGTGTGAGCGGACCTTTCTCTTGAAATTTCTGAATAGAGAGTGAATAATGCAATCACACGGAATGAGAACGCACAGAAATATATTATAAAGCAACAATTATAGTGAAGAAATCCATATTCTGGAAGAAGAATATGTTCAGAGTCAGCTCTAACAAATACGTGGCCATAATAGCTAACACTAGATGCATCCACTCAACCAGCTTCGTTGTTTCATTTCTCATAAAAGTAGAAAAAAAAGGATGATAAAGGCCTAACACCCGTGTAATTTGTAAATAAGGAGGACCCTCCATGATTGCCATTAATACAAAACCGTACTGCTAACAAAATCAGGCATTTAATTAAGACAATGAAAGATGATAATATGATTCTTGTCATCACCTTTTTGCCGTATTTAAAATCACGCTTTGGGAGAAAATGAAGGGGCAGATTAAATGAAGAGGGAGCTCTGACCAGTAGAAATAACTTTGAAATGCCTGCAAAATTTCGATGGAGAAAAAAAAAACTTGGATATAAGAGAATCAACTTTTTTTTTTGGACAAGCATCCTGAGCAAACTACCTTGATATGAAGCAGATCCAGCACCCATTGAGACCAGTGTCCGAATAACCTATAAAGGAAAAAATTATGCGCAGAAGATAGGAATTTGTAAAAATTATCAACTTTTTTCCTAAAAAATTGCAGTTTTGCAATGGAAGAAATAATCAGTAGGGATGAACCTTTCTTGAAAGCGCTTCTGCTGCTCTGCTTTTGGCGAAATCAGGAGGGCCAACGGGCACAGACTTGCCGTGCGGAAAGCTCAACTCGTACACTTGCTGAGGCCGTAAAGGACTACCTCCAATAACCAAAATGGCTGCTTGGATGCTCGGAACCTCGCCGATCATCAGCTTAAGCGCATTTTGGAAATCGGAAACCGAACGCATCAGCTTATCGAACCTTCTGATCCCCTGTTTCACCTCTCTCATTTTGCTGGCGTGCTTTCTCCGCATCGATGCGTTCTCTAGGGTTTGTTTAAGACCGATTTCCTGTAGAAAACGTTAAACTCGGAATTCTTTTCAGAACAAGTAAATTTGAATCTAAATTCTTGGAGAACAATCTCTGGCTTGGAGACGTACCAATTCACTGTACTCTTCACACAATGTGTCGAATTCGAGACTGATATCCTGCAACATGCTAAATGATAATTTGCGGCATTAATTGCACAGAAACCGCAAAAAATTCGATCTTTTACACAAATTGAAATGTTTTAGGATTTATTTTCCTGCACTTTCTGGGAAACCAAACAGGATCAAATTTCGAAACGGTTTTGGGGGGAGTAACTTACGAAGGGATTTGCTGGTGCATGTAAAGTACGAATCCGGCGACGTCGTTTACGGTGTGGAAGATCGTAGAATCGTCCAGAGAATCTGCGGCGGTCTCAATTTCCGAGCAATCTGTCACCATCTCCGAGCTTCCATGTCCCTCTTCCATGGCGGGGATTGGTCAGAGATGAGAAACTCGCGTTATTTGATTTGAAGTTCAGAAGCGGGAATGGGCCTGCGAAACAAGGGCACGAAAAATTGGGTTTTGTTTTGAACCCTTTACGCAGGGAGAAAGGATAAATAGCAGATTTTTGAAATTAAATTAGGTAAATAATAAAATTTAAAATTATTTAAAATAAAAATAAATAGTGATTTATATGATAAATACATTTTTTTATTTTATAAATAGTTCATTTACGTAAATTTTCTTTTTATCACTTATAAAAAAGAATTTTTTTCATGAAAATAAATATTTTTTTTACTATATAAGTTATAAGTTATTTTTTATCAATCGAAAATAAATTATTTACATAATAAATAACATTATCACATAAATTATTATTTATTTTAAATAATTTTAAAATATACTATTTACTTAATTTAGTTTCAAAAATCTACTATTTATTAAAAAAAAAATTTATAATTTACTTCGTATTATTTTGAATTCTTTATGCATCTAGCAAAACTTTAATGATAGAGTTTAAATATAGCAAAATTTTTAAAATATTACAAAAATAACTAAATTCTGATATCATTAGAATAATGACGATATTATTACATAGTACAAAATGTGCCATCATTATGATAATGATTAAGGTTTTATTTATTTCGCGGATTCGAATTTTTAATTTGAGTTGAAATATGACATTTTTTTACAGCTTTAAACTGAAACAGAAAAAGTAAGATGTGACATTTTCTGAGGGCTTTTAACTGTAAAAACTAAAAATTAAAAACTCGAATTGGTGAAATGAACGAAGCTTAAATCATATTTGTAACATTTTAATATTCTAAAATTTTTATTAAATTTTAAATCAAGATATGAAATTTTATCATGTGATGTAATTATCGCTACTTATATTTCTACGTGCAGGGGAGAGAGTTTAAATACCAACTCTCTTATCACAAAAAATAAAAAATAAATAAAAAACAAAAAAAAAACATAACATAACAAAACAAAACACAAACAAAAAAACAACTCTCTCATATATATATATATATATATATATATATCAATTTTCTAATTTCCCCATCCGATTGGTTGAGGGTATCAGATGAGAAACCCACATCTAACATCCTTATTTATTTAGATCTCGTTCAGTTTACTTATTTAAATTTTTAATTCGAACTGAGAGTAACATTATATAAGAACTTTTAACTGTAATAAAAAGTTAGATGTGATTTTTTATGAGAATTTTTAACTGTAACAAAATTAAAATTGAAAACTTAAATTAATAAAATAAACGAAACCTTATTTTTTTTCCTTGCTAATTGCATCCTTCTCCTTAGGTTGAGTATCACTCTCAAAATTGTACCATTTTTTTATGTATATAAAACTACACTTAATTTCTCTGCAGAAATTACATGTTACCATATCAATACTCTAAAAGTTTTATTCCCCTTATTCACCTTAATTTAGCAAAATAGGCGAAGATAAGCATTCCCTGATAAAATCGTGTTATCATACCTTGTCGAAAGCAACGCTGAATCCTTAAAAACTAAATAAAATAAAAATAAAAATAAAAACTCTAGTTCTGAAGACAAAAACAAGGGACCATATCAAGTGTCAACAACAGCAGACCAAAATTTTCTGTACCTCTCCGATTCGCGCCATCTAACATAAACATATCCCAAAAAAAAAAAAAAGGGGGCATTAATTTACACACTATTACAACAACATTTAAAATTTTATAGGATCTGAAGTCACGTCCTTTGTTTATTTGAGGACAAGCAGCATTACCCCACAATCAACTGAATCCCTTTTCTACACCTATTTAAAGCAAAATCCTCTGCAGAAGACAGATGAGGCTTCAGAGCTGCTCTTGCCCAGTCAACGAACCCGCATTTTATTCTCTCTTTCTCTGCAACGTCCGCCACTGAGAAACCTCCATCACAGCATAAATTAGATTGTGTCATTGTGATGCCAAACACAATGACACAATCTGGAGGCATTTTTCAGCCAGGCTCTATGCTCATCAAGACACATTATTTGAGAGCGGATTCATGCAGTACCAAGATAAAAATCCCAACTCTTACAACGAAAAGCTAGCATCAAGAACTAGACCTTATAATGCACTACGTCAGCTTACTGTCTTGTAGGAAGTCATACGCCATACCGCCTCAAAGCTTTGCTTAAACTTGGCATTACATTATATGCTTGATATGATCTTCTTAGTTCAATGATGGAGCCAACCTGGACAAAGAATGGTCAAAGCCCGGTAAGCATGAGCGGAAGAATACAGCAAGCGGCTATGCAATGCAGACCCACTAAGTTTAAGAGCATAGCTAGAAAAGCAACTTTTGACATTTTTTATTGAAGAGCTTACTTTATCCAATTCCTAAATGTAAAAGAATACCAATATAATTGAAGCAATAGTTTTCCACGAAGCTTAAACTAAACATGTCAAAATCCTTGTGCAACAGTTCAATGTGAGAAATATTCAAGTTGGGTTTGAAGAAAGAAATAAGCCAAGCCAAGCCAAGGCAAGGCAAGCATGAAAAATCAAAATCAAATTATAAATCTTTACCCCCTTCTACTCTACTCTCCTTTTCCGGGTCTTACTCCATCCCTTCTTTTATATCTCTACTGTCATTTCTTCTTTCTTTCACTCTCCTACCAAACATAGCATTAGGATTCCTATTGGAGATACCAACGGTACGAATTATGAAGACAGGTAAACTTCTTTCCAGTATGGATGCACAACGAATTACATCTATGGACCAAAATTGAGTTTAACAATTAGTGATAACCAAAACAAGAAAAAAAAAGAGGGACAGCCGAACCACCATATTTCTGGCATGTGCACACACCACGCCAATATATATGCTATATACTTGAAACAAATTACAGTCAAGATTGTCCTTACAATGATTAAGACCGATGTAAAACCAATTGCGATTCCTGCATTGATACGGCGTAAATAATGATCGAGTATGCTTGATGTTGTTGCCAAAATACTTAACAACAGACCCCCTGCATAATTATCAACCAGTGAACAGTTAAAAAAAAGGAAAGATTATTGGTCCTCCAATACCAAGAAGAAAACAATTCGCCTATTACTTTGTTTAAGTCAACATATAAATTAGACAGAATCTAACATAAGTAAAATTATACCCCAGAAACGTGTTGATGCTTGAATCTTCGTGAGGTATTCAATAGTCGCCTTCCCAGGTTTCACGTTCGGTATCCTGGCACCCATCTTATTCAAGTAATCAGAAATTTCCTTCGGCAAGTTGGCCTATATCAATTGCAGATTTTTTAAAAACAAATATAAGAACTTGAAATATAGAAAAAATGGATCACAAATGGCTCACATGACAATTTTTATTGATGCGTGTAAACGAAGTGGGAAGAGCCAAATGAAGAATATTTTAACATACAAGGGAGAAACATCAGAAATAAATGTTCTATAGTGTAGGTAGCAAATGCAATGGTGAATGAGCAAAAAGTTGAGAAGAAACTTACAATGTCAAATATATTGAACAAAAAGACAAACAAGGCATATACAGAGTAGTAAACCCAAGGTTTTGCGCCAATAGCAGTTTCAGGATTCAAAATCTCCTTAACATGCTCCCAGAAAGGCAAACCAAGGAGACTGCATGTAAATTCCATATCAGATTGTAACCATTATACTATTCAAAAAGAAAAGGAAACACCGAGCAGAAATTTTATGAACCACATCCTATAATAGTGAGTTTGATAAAAAAGAAAATCACATAGGTGAAGGAAAAGGAGTTTCACATTTTCGGGCATAAGAAGCCGCTTTATTGTTAAATGCAAAATGCATGTATAAAAAAAAAAAGAACTTTTCAATTTATAATACAACCTTGCAAGAATACCAGGAACGGCCAACAGATAATTAGTGGTGAGAACAGGTTGCATTCCAGCTGGATTGATATTAAAAGGGATATAGGGCTCCACTTCAGTAATTGGGGATTCATCTCTGTCCAAAAGCACATGAAGCGAAAAAAAAAAAAGTGTCGGTAAACAGCATGATCTCAGATAATAAAAGCTCCAATAGGCAGTTGAAAAAAAAAAAAAATATATATATATATATATATATATAAATATATACCAGAAACTTTATGAGTACCAAATTAGTTCCTTAGTAATAAAATTTACAGATACAACAACACATATGAAAACAGCATGCATGTAACCCGCACATTCTTTGAAGAAAGGGCCAGGAGACACCTGAGCAGCAGAAAACATATTACCTAGCAGCTGAAGCAAGTTTAAAACCATAATACTGCAGTTTAACCTTCCGGCAACCTTCAGTTACCACAACTGCCCACATGGTGACTAAGGTGAAAACGCCCAATAAACCTAGTATATATGGGCACCAATTCATTGCACTCCCTGCCATACACATTAAAGAGCTTGGAGTCAACAATTTCACCTAATAACAGATTAAAAGATATTTGACAAAATACACAAAACTTTGAAACATGGACACGCGTGCACACTCAAAATTTATTTGTTCAATGGTATCACATGACAATACAACTTGGAGTTGATTTAAGTTCATTATTTAACTTGTAGGTTTCAAAGCTAAGGATTCTTGAAGTATCGATGTTGGCTTGGAAATCATGACTCATGCCACATGTAAGAGATCTATGACGGGGTGACAGAGCACATGCTCCTTACTATGGGAGATGGAAGTTCAACCTGTATTCGATCCTTACACTTTTATGCTTGTCAGCTTATGACACAATTGTTATTAGCTTGGGATGGGAATAATTACAGATGCCGCATGTAACATTTGCAAAGTGGTCTCATGTGGCAAATATGATGGCAAATGGAAGTTCAAACTGGAATTGATCTGGACACTATTATGCTTGTTGGTTTAAGTCTTGAAGATCTTTTGCATTTCTTACATTAATAATTTTCATCACAAGAGATACATGCAGAATAACTATGTAAAACCATAGCATTAACAACATAAAGTTCATCAAGTGACATGCCTGAAAGCCGAGACAACATATTGTATAACATTTCGGTGTAGCCCGTTAATATTCCCACACATATAATTAAACTTGAACCTTGCCCTGAAATATATAAATATGCATCAGAAAACAAAACAAATAATAATAATAATAATAATAATAATAATAATAAAAGAAGGATAAAACTATGAGGTTGGAAATGATATGAAGTTGACTAGAATAACAATAAACAAGTTCTAAGCATATGATATATAACCAACATGTCAACACCATTACCAAATCCAGATTCTGAGATGGTATCGCAAATCCATGTTATTGACATTGCACCACATACTAATAAAAGAGTAGTCACCATCACATGTTTGACCCTGGCAGATAAAGAAATATTAGTGAAGCGCAACATTTTATAAGATACATGCACCTTGGCAAGAGAAACTACCTCCACATATACAGACACCACTAGGTTATGTGATTAACAAACAAATAACAAGCTGCTACTTGAATAATAAATCACTTTATGTAACATCCACCGGATAAAGAGCGGCCAACGTCATTGCTTAAAGAATGTTTCAATTTCAAATTGTTACAGGAAAATGAATCATCACTCAGATCACCGTACGAGGAGAATCTATGATGGTAGTAGATGATAATCTTCCTGAAGATTACCTGTTAGTAGCTACATAGACTGAATATGGAAGTGAATAACAAGCAATGATCAGACCCTCCAATATTGCAAAGCCAAGTGACATCCACCATCTACAATAGATAAAAGAAAATATTGGTTTGACAATCTTGAGAAAAACATCCACTAAAAATAAAACTTATCGTAAATATGTAAAGCAAGAATATTGGCTCACTGCTTAAGATGAAAACTAAACACACATATAACTCTTAATCTTCTCGTGGGCATCTAAGCCTTCTTTACGCAGCTTTACCAACGAGGGGACAATATGACAGAGCACCTGAAAATCAAGTTGGGAAAACATCAATTTTCATTAATCAAAATTGCAGGACATATAACTCTTGACTATAAAATTTTTCTATGATGATTACAATACTACCCCTAAAATAGATTGGATCCACTAATTTTACAAACTTAGTGAAGAGAAATATTTGCTTGAACTAGTTGACAGCTGAAGCTATATTAAAAAAAAAGAAAAAATCATTTGAAGCTACGATTGGTGGTTTAAGATTCCACTGGTTTTGATCTCCTAACACCTGTAGTTAATGGGAGTATGATCAAAGGAGGTATCTCTAATTAGTTTTGATCAAGAGTGCCGGTGTAATGTTTTCCATTGAGTTTTGTCGTGCCCAAAATTATAATGTTCCACGGAGGAAAAATTTGCAGAAATTATTAATTCGGGTGTCATAAATACACATGGGGTGACAAAAGAAAGCAACTAACCTGCATGATAATTGATGCCATGATCTGAGGGCCAACACCAAGCTGGAAAAGGGAGAGTTTAAGCTCTCCTGCAAAATCACCTAGTTCATCTGCCAGGAAAAAAGAGCGAGAGATTGAGTGAAGAATGATATTTATCCAACAAATGAAACAAATAACAATAACAACAACAATACACAATAGTAAGCCTACATAAAGGACAATTGCCCTTCACTACACCCTCATCTCTTTCCTAATCTGAAATATCTCCAATTTAACAGCCCGAACCCCAGTTCTTGTCCTCAAAAAAAGAAAGAGGCGTAACTTGGTTACAAAGACTTATAGACAACGATGAAAGTATAAATCTTAAACCGTTAGATGAAATTCATGTTAAATGGTAGCAAATGATGCTATAAACGTATAATAAAGCTGTTGCATGAGTGCATTTTGTGAGGGTATCAGTTGCTTACCTACGGAACCAGAGACAAAGCTCAGGTAATCTTGAGGTATCAACCTTCTATCAAATCCGGGGAGAGGAATGAAATAGCCAACACGACTAACAACAATAAGTAGCGCCGTAACAAATAACCTCCGCCTTATCTCACTCTTGAAAAATGACTCAGCAGCATTATTGAGGACAGAACTGATACGTACAAAATTCAGAAACCTATTTCTAAACATTTTAGGTCTGGAATGCGAGTCCTCGAAGTCATTAATGTCTTGTGAAATGAGACCATCTGTCCCGCCAGTTATCCGCGGTGAAATAGTTTCAAGATTCAGAGAGCTTGCAGAAGTACCCTCAATGGTCATACAGTTCCTACAGATCTGATCTGAGAATTTGACAAAGGATCTTTTATTCACTTTCGAAATAAAAGGTCTGTCAAGAAACATTTTATGTCTTCTGCTAGATTCTACAGTATTCACCCTACAGATAGGATAAGAAGCAGCAATAGGCGGACTATACAATTGGATATTAGAACCTGCAAAATCACATGAATGAATCAACTATACTCTATGGACTAGCAACAAACAGAATAATGCATTATTATTCGGCGAATAATGTTAGGGACACCAACTTTTATACCAACTCATGAGATTGTCATTCATTTATGTGCAACCTCTTATTATTAATTGATGAAAATTGGTGTCCCTAGCATTACTAGATAACTGGCAACATAGACAAATTGAAAATTGAACTGAACTTAGGTTTAAACCAATAACTACAACAAGAAGAATCTGGCCCAATCACCCAAAACAGTACACAGATGAACATTTTACAATTTCATATAGAGAAAGCACGAAAACACAGCAAAACACTAACGAATACCATGGCGAACATATACTAATCTCCATTTTCTTTCTAAGAAAACGAGAATAATTCAAGCAGTAAAATTTTGAATATTTTTTCCAGGAAAATTAGGGTTTAATGTTGAGTGTAGATTCGAGCGTTTGAGAAGGTAACCAAAAAGAATGAATTTATTCTGTTTTCTTATTCCTTTTTCTCTCTCGCGATGTTTCCAATGAGCAAAAGAGTGGAAAACTGACCTTTAATCTTCGTATGAGTTCTGGGTAGAGGAAAGAAGCGACTCGAGCCGAGAAGAGTGGCTTCCATGGCGGGACTTTGTGAAAAAGAGAGGGAAAGCAGAGAGACGAGAGAGTACTACCGTTCTCCTTTTGTGTTGAAGAATGAAGACTATCGCTTTTATAGGGCCTTTCGTCTCATCTTTAATGGCTATAATCGTCTACTTCTCATCTCTTCTGCCATACGTAAGTAACTCCGCAACATGGCGGTATGTGATTGGTTCTTTTATTTATTAAACACTGGCTAAATTCACAGTCGTTAGTTCATGGATTATAACTATAAGATTAGAATTATTTTTAATTTACGTGTATTTTTTGTGAGAGAAAATACTATAACGAACCATGAACCATGAATCATGATTCGAATTAGAGAATGAATCCTCCAACCAAACAGGCTCGTTTTTTTTTTTCCTTTTTTGGGGCAACTTATAGAAGGGTTTAGGGAGTTTATATTATAAGATTATAAAAATGATTTATTAATAGTTTTTTTTATTTTTTAGTTGTCAAAATTATATCAAAAATTATCTATTTTGTATACTTTTTTAATCTAATGTAATTTTAATTAGATTTAACTGTTAAAAACTGGCCTTACTAAACCGGCTTACCAGAAAATGTCCTAAAATTTTATTAGCGCAATAACCTTTCAAAAATTTATATTTGTAAAATGACAATTGAGCGATTAAGAACAATCACTTTTTATAAATAAAAAAAGGGCCAAATTAGTCGTTATTTGTACAAATAAAAAAGATTATTTTACTGATCTCACTTAATTGGTTAGTCAATTTATCAAATTTCTCGATGAACTCACGGGGTGATAAAGGTTTGGCTAGTTTAAAACATCATATTAAACCCCCAATTTATGTTAGTCGTGCTAAATTTGTGTTGGTGTTGTCTTTTTCACCAGCTATTGTTAATTTCAACCCCCTCCATAGTTACCCATTTTAAATTGATAAAAGTAGGCAACAACAGTAAAATTGTTAATGAGCGTTAAAGTTTTGGAGTAGAATAAAATATGATAATTTAATGAAATTTGATGAAGCTTTGACAGTCCAAAACTGTGTATATAAATACTAATTGTAACACTACTAAGTTTTTCAATTACTTTTTTAACATTTGTATTTTAAATGTCTTAAATGGACTATTTGACCTTTAATAAAAAATCATATTAATTAGCTGCACTCATGACAAATTTCTATGGATATGGTGTATTTTCATTTGTTTCTGGTTATACGTCTAGCGTATTAATTTATCGAACATCTTTTTTGTCTGGCTAAATTAATCCTAATTAACATTATCAATCGTTCTACGTAGAATAGGATGTTTAAATCAGATCTTTGTCAATTTTAATGCTTTATTATAGTCATATTCGTACGCAATGATAAAGTCAGGGATTTTTGTCAAGGGACCGGACTAATAACTGTAATAAAACTTTACTCAAAATTAACTGTTAATAATGTTCTATAATATGATGTTTGTTTTAAGGATTCGTTCCTGATTCTGAATCATAGTTCTTAATTTTCTATAGTTTTCTTTCATAAAAAATTTAAATTTTAAAAATTAGAATCATGAATCATGATTCTGAATCCATAAAACAAGCGTCTCATAATTATCCCATTAGGTTTATTGACGATGTTTACGAGCGTGCACATTGCGTAAAGTAACTACATCATTCTTGCCACAATTAAAGAAAAAAAAAAAAAAACTCACAAAAAATTTAATTTTAAATTTTAAAAATTAGAATCATGAATTATGATTCTGAATCCATAAAACAAGCGTCTCATAATTGTCCCGTTAGGTTTATTGACGATGTTTACGAGCGTGCACATTGTGTAAAGTAACTACATCATTCTTGCCACAATTAAAGAAAAAAAAAAAAAAAAAAAAAAAAAAATTTCCCAAAAATATTTTTTTTTTGGCACACAAGCCACCAAAAAAAAAAAAAAAAAAAAAAAAAAAAAAAAAAAAAACTTTCCTACATATGATTCTGTCTTGGCCAACTAGCGACAGTTCGGAGGGAAATTGGATCGGGTACGTAAAGAAGCATGCAAGATGATAGTTTCATGTACAAGGGGGAAAAAGAATACATTGATCATCAGAGAGTTAATCGAAGAGAAAAAAAGTGGGAAATTACATGCTGTTACACATATTATTTAGATTACAAATTACAATACACGATCACTAGTTAAATCATTTAACAGCACAGGCAGTACTGTTTTAAGAGCTTCTGCCATTTTATGTTTTTTTTTTTTTTCTTCTGCTTTAAATTCTTGGAAGCTAGCTAGTAAGTCCATTCCTTTGGAAGAAACAATTCTGGAGAGGAGCTTCTTTTTTGGGAAATAACGAAGCATTGTGACGATGGCCTTGCATCCTTATTAGTGTTATTGCAGGCTTTTTTATTTTTCACTGACATGATTCGGTCTCCAGTAACTTTTCTGTTATTTTTAGGATCTGAAAAGTACGACAACAATGATTCTAATATCAGTCGTATGTCAATCATATGAAAATTATCGATACTATATACATAATCATTCGATAGATGTTTAATTTATAGATTCAGAATCATAATTTAAAATTATTTTTAGTTTTTATTTCTTTTTTATGAGAAAAAATACTGTAACGAATCACAAATTATAATTCGAATTAGGACACGAATCTATCAACCAAACACAATCTTAATTAATTTAAAATTTTTGAGAGGACACGAACCTTGTCGCGGCGAAAGTTGCAGGCCTAAAGCGTGCACGTTGAGATTGAGAGCTTGAACCACGCGTGAGGGAAGGAGAACTGGGGCACAAGCTGCACCAAGATAGAAAAAACATTAATATTGTAGAAATTTAATATTCCGATAGTGTTTGTCTTAATTATTGCAATTTTACATGTGTGTATACTATTATTAAAAGTATTACTTGAAAATAGATTGTTCTTTTTCAAAAAAAAAAAAAAAAAGATTGCTGCTTGAGAAAACTACAAGATTAATAACCATTGTTTTTCATCATCCTATTATTTATGTCATTAAAAAATATTTTGGTAGAATATGAAACGTATCTGGTAGAATACGAAATATATCTTGCATGCCAGCAAAAAAAAAAAAAAAAATTCCTGTAGAATATGAAGATATCTAACCAAAATATTAATAGCGTAAAATAATAAATTTAAAATTGATGATAAAAATAAAATAGTTTTAATTTTTTTTGTGGCATTCTTGAAAATTTCGTATGGTGTTTTTCTTCAAAAATAAATTGTAATATAGTTCATCATCATGTAATTAAAAAATATTTTGGTAGAATATGAAACGTATCTGGTAGAATACGAAATATATCTTGCATGCCAAAAAAAAAAATATTCCTGTAGAATATGAAGATATCTAACCAGAATATTAATGGCGTAAAATAATAAATTTAAAATTGGTGATAAAAATAAAATAGTTTTAATTTTTTTTGTGGCATTCTTGAAAATTTCGTATGGTGTTTTTCTTCAAAAATAAATTGTAATATAGCAATTAGTACTCAATTTGTACATGCCTATAATTAGTACTAGCGTAGAGAAATGATCTTGATGTACCTGGCTTCTTATTGCTTGGATGCATGCCGTTGCCTGTTCTTTGCGGAAGAAAAACGCCTGTACCACATGATTTTTGGCCAGAATCTAGGAAAATAGCTTGCATTCCAGGTCCTCCAGATGCCCAATTTTGCACAAATTTCGGTCTATAAGGTGGCATTGGACTAGATTTTGAGTTGTGCTGGGACATCATATGCCAATTTTATTAGCTCCCCAAATATTGTCAATTTTCATATATGTTGAAGAAACGTAAACGTTAGAAACCTATTATTATTGTTTCATATCTTAATATTTAACTATATAATATATAATGCCCCTAAACTATACCCCACGCGTATAGAATTAAAAACAAAAATGTGTGGAGTTCGGTAAAACAAAATTAAATTAAATTAAATTATAAAGACGACAAATGATTAGTTTCTTTTACTATAAAAAATATATATATTAAGTCCTTAATTATTTCCAACGGAGTCTCTACATCAAAATAAATGACTCCCAATAGAATTCACTCGGTTAACAACTAATTTGTGAAATACTAATTCGGACGACTACTTGAAGTAGTCAATTATTTTCTACGGAAGCTTTCCAAATGAAACGTTAATTGTTAGTACACAACTAGCCTGCAGGTCAAATCATGAGCTCACCCGCAATATATAACAAGTTTACTTATGTCCTTATATATACAGACGAGTTTTTAATAGTTATATATATAACTATATATAACTATATATATAACTATATATCCTAGAAAAACAAAATTAAATTAAATTAAATTATAAAGATGACAAATGATTAGTTTCTTTTACTATAAAAAATATATATATATTAAGTCCTTAATTATTTCCAACGGAGTCTCTACATCAAAATAAATGACTCCCAATAGAATTCACTCGGTTAACAACTAATTTGTGAAATACTAATTCGGACGACTACTTGAAGTAGTCAATTATTTTCTACGGAAGCTTTCCAAATGAAACGTTAATTGTTAGTACACAACTAGCCTGCAGGTCAAATCATGAGCTATTGGCTTGAGGCAACGCAAGTGACGCTTTTACTTGCACATTTCATTCAACGCTTTTGAATACAAATTTATTTTAGGGGTATAAAATAATTTCTTAGTATGTTAGTTAGTTTCTCATGTATCTTAAGCAAACCATTGACATATCTTACAATACAAGAGAATATACAGTTTTGTCGTGCTATACTATCCACAAGTAATTTCCTATTTTTGATTGATCATCAAGGAAAAAAGGAAAAGATTTGTATTTTTTTTTTTTTTTCAGATTGGCTATAGTCTCTAATTTTTATTTAGATTAGTTCCTGGATAAATAATTGTTTTCCACCCAAAAGAGAATACTCACCGGATTGCAACCGGGAAAAACAAAATGTATTAATCCCCCGTCCATAATTATGCCGTTTTCAAATTGTGCAAGAGTACGTGATTAAACTATTTTCCCAATAGATATGCGACCCAAAAAAAAAAAAAAAAAAAAAAAAAAAAAAAAAAAAAAAAAAAACAAG